GACATGGAGGGACCTGTGGGGACACAGGGGGACCCTTGGGGACACCAGGACTGCCGTTGCAGGGAGAGCCTGTCCCCACGCGGTGAGCTGGCCGTGCACTACCGCGCACAGCGCTCCTACAGCCGGCGGCCGCCTGACGCCACGCGTGAGTGTCCCCAACACCGCGACCTGGTGCCAGCGGGGTCCATGGTGGCCCCAGGCTGGGCCACGTGTGTCCCAGCTGTCCCCATGGGCACGGGGATGCATGGGGCTGCAGCGGCCCCAGTGCCACCGTGCAAGGGTGACACGTAGCCCAGGTGTCCCCAGTGCCACCGTACGAGGGTGGAATGCCCCAAATGTGTCCCCAGTGCCACCGTGCAAGGGTCACACGCACCCAGGGTGTCCCCAGTGCCGCCGTGCAAGGGTGGCATGCCCCAAATGTGTCCCCAGTGCCACTCTGTGAAGATCACATGCACCCAGGGTGTCCCCAGTGCCACCGTGCAAAAGAGGCATGACTCATACCTGTCCCCAGTGCCACTGTGCAAGGGTGACATGGCCCAAATGTGTCTCTATCCCCCGTGCCCTGTCCTCATTCCCTGTCCCTGTCCCCATCCCTGTCCCCATCCCTGTCCTCATCTCCTGTCCCCTGTCCCCATCCCCGTCCCTGTCCCCACAGTGAGCAGCCTGGGCGTCAGCGCGGAGCTGCAGGAGAAGCTGCGGGACGTCCTGGTGGAGCAGGACAGGGTGGCCCTGGGCAAGACCCTGGGGGAGGGTGAGATGGGGACGTGGGGGACACGAGGGGGACATGAGAGAACATGGGGGGACAAGGGGGCACAGAGGGGACATGGGGGGACACGGAGGGACACGGGGGGACAGGGAGGGGACACATGAGGGACAAGCACGGGTGCTCAGGGCGCTGCATGTCCCGGTGTGGGGGCTCGTGTCCCTGCAAGCGCAGGGTGTCCCCCCCTGCACCGCAGTTCCCTTGCACCCTCTGGTGTCCCCACACCTCGTGTCCCCACATCCACTGTCCCTGTGTTGCCGTGGCCCTATGTCCTCCTGTCCTCATGTCCCCTATGTCCTCCCATCCCCATGTCCCCCTGTCCCCCGTGTCCCC